TTTCAAATGCCACGTAATGCTCCAGGGAAACCAAAATTTCAAATAGAATATCATTTTAAAGAAGGACTTCGACGGAAAGTGCATGAATTCTTCTTTAGACAAGAATTTCCAACATTGGATAAAGTTCTTGTCTCAGTTCGAGATGATAAGGATTACCCAGAAATGAGTCGAAGTACGTTATGGAAACTTTTAAAATAAATAGGCTTCCGCTGGAAAAAAAATCCCAGAAAGTCTATTTTATTAGAAAGAAGCGATATTGTCATATGGAGAAGACATTTTCTAAGAACCATAAAGCAAATGAGAAACCAAAAAAGAAAAATATTTTATCTTGATGAAACATGGATCAACGAGGGTCATACACCAAATAAATTTTGGCAGGATGAAACTGTTACAAGTTAAAGGCACGCTTTTGTAAATAACTTATCTACTGGTTTAAACCCACCATCAGGAAAGGGACGCAGGCTGATAATAGTACACATTGGCAGTTCAGACGGTTTTGTTGAAGGTGGTTTATTAACTTTTGAATCAACTCGTACCGGTGACTACCATGAAGACATGAACGCTGATGTCTTTCAAGAATGGTTCGAACAAATGATAGATCTTCTTCCCAAGAACTGTGTAATAGTAATGGATAATGCAAGTTATCACTCCAGACTTATAAAAGGACTGCCCACAACGAAGTGGTTAAAAAAAGACTTGCAGAATTGGCTGAGTTCAAAAAATATTACGTACCATCCCGGATCTATAAGAAAGGAACTTTATTCGTTGTGTGCCCTTCATAAAGAAAAATTTAAAAAATACGAAATTGATGAAATTGCCAAAAATCGTGGAGTGACAGTACTTAGATCCCCACCATATCATTGTGAATTAAACCCGATTGAACTGGTATGGGCACAGATAAAGAGTGAAGTTTCAAGAAAAAATACCACTTTTAAAATTCATGATGTTAAACAGTTGTTTTTGGAGGCCGTAAATAATGTAAAACCTGAAAACTGGGAAAAGGCAGTAAATCACACTATTAAAGAAGAGGAAAAAATGTGGAAGCTGGACAATATTACTGATAAAATGATCGAGCCAGTTATTATAAATCTTGGTTCTAAAAGTTCATCTTCTGAATCTGATTTGGATTTCTAACAAGTAGCTGTAAGTTTTATATTAATATTTTTATTCATCTATTTAACATACCTTAGACGGTTTTAAAAACTCTTTTTCTCTTTTGTAATTTTTAAAAATTAAAAAAAATGTGAATTTTTTAAAACCCTTTTTAATGTAGGCCAGTCAGTTCTAATATAGTGTGTGATAAAAGAGGTCGTTTTTGTTTACATACACATAACACTTTATAACACTGAAATAATTCATTTATTTTTTACAATTATTCAAAGTAATTTTTCAATTAATCTTGAGCACGCCCATGGAGTGGTCGGGGGTACCAGTTAAAATTATGCTAATTACTCTCTCGTTCATAAAAATAAACTATAAAATGACGAACAATGCAAAGAAAAGGAAAACGAGAAAGAACAATAAGCCCACAATCAGATTAGCAACATGGAACATTACCTCTTTCAACAACAAAGACCAAGAGATAATACAAGAACTGATAAATAAAAAAATAGACATTTGTGCAATCCAAGAAACCAAGAAGAAAGGTTAAGGCCAAAGAGAATATAACCTATATTTCATAGCATACAGTTGAGTGAAGAAAGAAGAATGAGTACGAGCAGGCGTAGGTATACTTGTCCATAAAAAATTTAAAGACAACATAAAGTTTTTTTGTTATTTCTTTATTTGATTAACCTGAATAAATTTCTGTAAAAAATGTATGCAAGTGTTGCTACGCCACTGGTAGCAGTTAACTTACACGTCTCAAAGTATACCTAGGTAAATTCTTACATGTCTTTAATTATACCTAGGTAAATTCTCCAGCAAATTCTCATAAAAGCCGAAAATGCATTCAGAAGATATTTTTACCCACAGATTAACTTTCTTCGACCAATTCCAAAAATTTTCCTGTTAGACAAGAATTCAAAAGGTCGGTTCCTACCGCTGTATAGAAATATCGAAGTTGTCCCCTGCCATCCCCTTGGCAGAAGTCAGGCATTGGAATCAAAATTTTAAGTATTCAGGCAGTATCAAATTGTATCCTAGCTGAGCTGTTCGCTTCTTGTTTAGAGTTTTTTAACTACCTCATAGTATTTATTGTTTCACAGCTTATAGTTAAAAGCTGAACGCTGTCTTAATCAAGTATATTTACATTTAAAGAAACGTCCTAAGTTGAAGTGATACTTCATATATATATATATATATATATATATATATATATATATATATATATATATTATATATATATATATATATATATATATATATATATATATATATATATATATATATATATATATTCAATATCTTTTAATCGTTGTATTTTACAACGAGGCTTTTAGTTTGATATTTTACACCATATATTTATTCATTATATATCTATTAAAAAATAATAAAGAACTTAACGATTTTCTTCTTTTCAAATTGAAGATAAATCCAATTATATAAAAAATAGCAATGGTACATTATGGCACACTAGTAATTGTTTTATAGTTTATGTTTTTAGTAGAATTTTATCGATAAATACGCGAAACTAAGGAATGCAAACGAAAAAACACTACAAACAAAATCGCCACAACAATAATTGCATTATAGGGTCTTACGAACTAACTACACACAGAGCCAAATATATTATTTTTTTTTATAAATAAGCTCGATTCGTCGATTTTTTTTAAATCAAAGTTGTCTATAACTTTTTCATTAAAGTTTGGTATTTCTTTTATAAGTGTTTTTTCTACTCACAACATGGTTAATGCTACAAGTCGGTCTTCAGTCATGGAATTTCTCAAGAATGTTTTAATCCGTTTTAAACTCGAAAAGCACCTTTCAGCTTCTGCCGTACTCCTGGGCACTGTAATTAGAATTTGAAGCAGTTTTACAGTTTCTTGAAAAGTTAAATTATTTTCAATTAAAACTTTTAAAAAGGGTATTGCCCCATTAATGTTTCTACAGTCTCTTCTAAAATAAATAACAGATAATTCAGTCTTCAAGCGCTCCCTATCTAAATTTGGATATGACGCGCAAGTCAGGCTTAAATTATCATCTGGGAAATTATCACAATAATTATCAAATCGCTCAGGATAAAGCAATGAAGTTGCAAGTAGGTGATTTTTAAAAGCAAATCTATCATTTGCACAATTTATGATTATATCACAAACTTCGATAGATGCTCTCCGATGATCTACTGGACTGTTATCCTTCCGTAACCTTTTAGTTGGTAGTGGTTCAACGCATAAAGAATCTTGGTCAATGGTATCATCTATTAAATTTCGAACTGAATTTATGTATTTTTCGAAATCTGTCACCTTTTTATTGATTTCCAAAGGATCCGTTTTAGTCTTTTGAAGGGTATTATACAAAACGTCTACTTGTGGCATTATGCGATGGAAAAATGTTAACCAAAAAACAAAATTTTGATCCACTAGTATTCTTCGAATGGAAGACGCTGAACTACAGACAGCTGCCTTATCAAACGATGCTTCTATTTCTTCCATACATTTGATAAAAGAAGATCGATGTTCAAACACAACATTAACAGTTCGAATATTGAAGTTCCAGCGAGTTGGAGCGCCATGAGGAATTTTCTTTTGGACGATTTTATCTAAAACTGCCACTCGTTGTGGCGAATTTTTAAAAAAGGTAGGGATTTCATTTAAATTTCCAAAAAAAAGTCTAACTTGAGAGTTTTCGGAACGAGCCTTAGACATTATTAAATTTAATTGATGCGCGTAACAGTGTACAAAATGAGCAAATGGATATTTTTCTTTGATTCTGGCTTGAACTCCTGCGTGCTGTCCACACATGACCGCTGCCCCATCATAACTCTCAGCAATTAGTTTATTATTTGAGTTTTCCAGGATAGGATCCAAAACACTGAAAATGTTTTTGCTTAAAGTATCTGCATTAAATTTTGAAGGTACCAAATATGTCCAAAATCGTTCTACCGGTGCTTCATTTCGACAATATCTAAGTACTACAACCATTTGTGATTTTGCTGAAATGTCTGTAGTCTCGTCGGCCATGACAGTTAGATATGGAGATTCCCGAATTTCCTCCAAAATTTTATCCTGGCATAATTCCAACATGCAGTCCAAAATATCATTTTGAATTTCTTTAGAAATGCCCTTAAAAACCGTCGATTCTTCCAAGTGTTGTGCTAAAGTTCTATCCAATTCAGCAGTAAAATTTATACGGCCGCGAAAAATTCCAGGATTGTCGGATGTTTGTGTCTCGTCGTGTTCCCGAAGCGCCAATTCGAAAACACTACAAAATTATATGCAGTCTATAATTTTTGAGAGAACATACCTATTTTTTGTTACAGCTTCATTGAATTTTTGAATATTTATCCAGTATGCAGAATCTAACTGTTCTTTAATATTCACGGAGCTTAATAAAGCATATTCCATTTGATTGTGCAAATGATGCTTAGAAGTTTCGTGCTTTTTTATTTTATCACTTAAATGTACTTAGTCTGTTACACCAACTTGCCTCCATAACTTATCACCTCCAAAGAGTACACAAGGAAAACAGAAAAGAGCGTTTTTTCTGTTGCAGCCACATATCCAACTATTTCTCGTATAAATATCGCAATTAAATTGTCGTTTGTAATTTTTCCCTCGGCTTGATCCTTCTTTTTCGATTTTAATATCCGGCAAAGGACGTCCTTTGCATTTTAATTCTAGTTTTTCGTCATAAGAATATTTAAAGAATCTCTTAACATTAATCAAATTATAAATAACATCCGTCCTGAACAGCACTTTTATTCTCATATACTTAATATAAATACCGAATTACGTGCAGGACAACTTATTTTAACAGTCGTCGCGTCGCGATCAGCGATTATTTAAAATTACAATAAACGTAGGTTTGTACACACTAGTTCGAACTGCGATAAATGCAGCTCAAATATTGCTTTCAGTTTCAGTCGTCGCCTGAAAAGTGTAGGCGGAGGGTTGAGCGGATGTTATTGGGGATATCTTTAACAGTTCACAGCTCGGAGTAGCACCGGTCCGGTCAAATAAGTGGGACTTGCTGTCGCCATGAGATGCGACGGACGACAGATTAAAATAAAGGCGGCCATGCACGAAAACCATCTAAATGAATTTAGATTTTATAAGTAGTGATATTTTTTATTTAATTTTCAAAGTAATTTTGTTTGGATTATTTTGGTGGTTCTGCAGCTCCGTAGCACTTATATACCAACCGCCACTGTAAACTACTATTAAACTAGTAGTAAGATCGCCATCCTAATTTGTTAAACAAATGTCGGTTTAATTCTACCATAACATATTTGCTGAAAACTTTTGAGGGCACATATTATCATTAATAAGTAGAGGTATAAATATAATTAACTGTGATTTATTTAAGCAATGTAAACTGTCTATTAGAGCTTACCCTGTGATCCTTAGGCCTGGTTTCCTGCCGTCTTGGAGTGCCGCCCTCAGTGTCTGGATAAATGAGATTTCTAACCGCTCCCACAAACCGAGGTTCGAAAATCACACTTGGTAGCGCGAGCAACGTTAACTTCGTATTGTACCACGTCGGCATACCTCCCACGAACACGTCCGAATTAGTAGTAAACCGCCCGAAGTTGAACTCTTTTCCTCGCGAGGTCCTCATTTGAGATACCCCATCTACAGTAAGTATTGTCCTATCCTCATGTCTCTGAACATGGACTTTGTGCCAATGACCGTCGTTTAGGTCTCTACCTACAGTTATGATCTGAGCACCACCTCCCAAGTTGTACCTCAAGCGCAATGCTCCCTCTACTAGCTTGATCTCGAAGAAGTCATAAGTACCTCCATCGTCAGTGTAAAGCAGCAAGCCATTTGGTTGATCTGTCTTAAATTCGAACTCTAAGCTGCCGTTGGTGCCGCCACCCCATTTTCTGAACTGAGAAAATGAGTTGGCCGAGCCGTCTAGTAGAAAACCGTCCGCTAAACATAGGTAAAATACGATGACTAAAGTTGGATAATACATATTTGAGCTTAAAACAGACTACGAACTGTAAAACTTTGGATTTGAAATTTTAGCCAACGCAACACTTATCACTAAATAACGCATGACGAAAACAGTTGGTAGAAGAACTCGATATGTTTCTTTGGAAAAACCAGGGATGGGAGTGCACTTGAGTGATTGTAGGAACAAGCTGAAAGAGAAAAAAAGAAATTAAAGATTTTAAATTGGTATATAAACGTAAAAAAATATTTTAATGGTTTTAAAAAAAATTTGTTCAAAACTCTTTTATAAAAGGTCTGTGTCTACAAACAATCAAAGTAGTCAAAAATCGTGGGCAAATAGTTGGTCAGTGAGAGAATATTAATACAAAATCCACAAGGAAAACAATTCCTGTAGCTGGCTGTATACCACGTATCACAAAAAAGAGGTTAATCTTCGTAAGTAGGTATATTTAAAATTTTTTTTAAATATACCCATTTACGAAGATTAACCTCTTTTTTTAATTAACTAATTTTATAAAAAAATCTCTTACGGACTTAATCACAACGACTAAATATTCGGAATAAACATGTCATCTTCATTACTGCTACTAGGTATATGCATACCTAGTGACAGCAAATAAGATTGAATATTTATTTCAAAAACGTTCTGTAATTAAGTCCGTAAGGATTTTTAAAATAGATATACCTTTTACAAATGATTTTTAATAAAAAAATTGCTGATATGATATATGAAGTACAGCCGACTACAGAAAAACTTTTTCCTTGCGGATTTCAATAATTTTATTAAAAAATATATAACATGCAAAAAGTTATAAGTAATAAGGTCTACGGCCAATTTTAAGTTACTTTAATGTTTGTTATTTGTACCGAATTTTTTATTTAAGCTCTTCTAATTTATGATAATACTTTTTTATTTTAAATATAAATTATTTGTCGTAATCGTTTAAAATCAAATTAGTTTCTAATTAATTATGATTTGAGTAGTTAGAGTTTACAGTTTATTTATTTAACTATATAACAAATACAAAAGCTGTTTGTAGCAAGTCAAAAAAAAATCATCATCAAGTAGCCCTACAACCCTGGGTGGGTATTGACTGACTTTTTTTAATTTGGTCGGTCTTTCATCAACCTAGGGTCAAATGAAATGTTCATTTTCCAAAGATCTGTTTGGATGTTATCTCTTCATCTCTTTCTGGGACATCCAAGTGGTCTTTTGCCTGTGGGAATCTCCTCCCATACCAAAAAAAAATTGTATATAAAATAGGAATATAAAAGATTCCTAAAATATATCACAAACAAGAATACCTATTAAACAAAAAAAATATTGTGGCAAAGTTACGGTAAGCAGTTCAGTGGATGTTCTGCAGTGAGTCATAATATATTTCTCTGAGCAGTAAAAACAATGTTTCAGAAGATATTTTTTTTATAACTTTTTCAAAACTACTATTTTATACTTTTTGGTAAAATATTGTAGTAGTTATATAATTAAAGCAATTTTTATCTGAACGACGTAATCTACAGCCATTTGTTCGAAGGTAGTGACAGATTTCTACTTAAGAACAACTTACAGTATTGAGAAACAGAAGAAGAACTGTCACATGCTAACCTACATCTGTCAAATTTACCACTAAAATCTAATAGATACAACATAAAAAACTCATTGTGCCCAAGACTGCGATGTAGTGCATTAAAGCCCTTCCCCCTTTTAAATTCAATGTTTGTTTCGTCCCTTCTAAGTGTTTTCTGTTTTAGTGTGTTTAAATTGTCCTTAATTGTTTGTATTTTAATATTTTATTTACTTGACTTTCCAATTATTCACTAATTGCCAATAGAACTTTATCAAAGTAATTTGATAACTACAAGTTAGAAAATAATTGCACACCCATACAATTTTTACATCTAAATTTATTCATTGTCATAAAACTGCCACCTCCATAAACCAATTACTCAATAAATAACACACATTTCAAAAATATATCTCTCGAATAAGTATAAATAGCTTTTAATAACACAATGGTATATTACATCACTTTCATTTAACAAACAATCACACCCATATCTCTTCTTCATTGGATCAAATCTATCTCCTCAAGAACTTCCCGTTTACTGTCAAACAACTGCAATAATAGAATTGAGTTCTCCATTCAACAATACATAGTAGTTTCAACCATGTTCTACCATCCATCAATTAATAGAGTAGCGGCATGTAAGTAATTTATGTATTTATGTAAGTTTATTTTATTTATTTGCTGATTTCATGTATTATTAACATTAATTAATTACAATCGAAGAGACTATTTTATAACAATTTGTGGGCCTTACCTTGTCTGTTTAAACTTTTAAAACTTTTATACCTTTTATTCAACTTACTCATTTAAATAAAACCACAGACATGTAATATTGGCATAATTATTGTAATTTACAACATCTACTTTGTTTATCGTTATTAGACAACACCCTAATATGGGTTTTTATTATTTCAGCATTTGTTTAACTTTGTATCGAGACCTGAGGATGCCTTGCATATTGTAGAAAGCGAAACCGGTCGTCTGATAGTTAAATTAAATTGATTGTGAGTAAGTCTTATTTATTATTTCTTTACCTATTTGAAATGGACTCACACAAGCAACACATTCATGATTTAAGACAGTTTTGTTCACTTTACCAAACTTACTTTATCAAACATTCCTGGAATGAAATCTCTTTTTTCATCAATCAATCATCAATTATTTTCATCATTGACACCTAAAAGGATAATATTCTAGTTTTTTATATATTCGTGATTCTTTTTTGTTTTTTATTTTCTACTTCTTTTTTTACTTTTCACTTGTCACTTGACCATAAAAATTATCTCTCCAAAAGCATATTGTGACAGAGTGTTTGTTATTACATTATTTAAGGTTATGTTTTGTATAGTATGTTGCGTAAAGTAAGTTTAGTTTGTTCTAATAATTAGATAATTATTTAATGGTTTGTGATGTCTAATATTAATACCTCTAATAGTCAGACTCCTGTGAAAAAAAAAGGTAGTGGAGTGACAAAATTAAAAGAAAAGAAAGAAAGAAGGGATGGATCAGAATTTGTCACTTCCAAAGGTGTTTTGGTTAAAGACAGGAAGACTGGGCCTGACTGTTTGTGTAAGAAAACATGCACAAATTTATTTTTATTGAAGAAAAAGTAGGTATTGTTAACCGTACCTATGTACAATGGTCAACCTAAGAATGGGTCAGATACTTTTTGATGGGCCTTATTAACAGATCTGATGTGACTAGACATGGGCCTAAAAATAAAGACTCCAAGCAAATACAATCATCTTTTTATGTATTTTTCATTACCACACAACACAAAAGTGGAAGTTTGTAAAAGGCATTTTTAAGTTTACATTCAATAAGTAATAAAGTATTACAAAGTCTTACGAACTTAAAAAATTAAGCCGAGCTTCTATATGGTCCGATAAAAGAGGGTTTCATGAAAATCACCCCAGAAAATCGAATGATATTGTTAAATATCATTCGATGTTTTACTCACTTACTCATTCGATTCACTATTAGTGATTTAAATGACGATCAATAAATGTGTACCGGGTGGTCCAATAAGCCGATGTCTCGGCTATATATCAGAAACTATTCATGTTATAACTTTAGGAAAAAAATTCCTAAGTAAAAGTGGCCAAGAGAAATTGCTGGAAATAATTTTCACGATTCTGGATTAACCGCTAGGGGGCGTAACCTGCGAAGAAAATTTTGAAAACCAGTTTTTTGGGAAATATGTCCAATTATACCAAGTGTTAAATAAGTAAACTAGAAAGAGGCATAAATTCTGCACAAAGTTGTTCGAGGACTTTTTTTATTTTTTCAAATAAAGGGTGGCGGAGAGGGAAAGTATTTGTGGATAAATACCTATAACTTTGGTTTGGATCAACCGATTTTAACAAAATTAGTGTCATTAGAAAGAGTATGGATAATTTAATTTACATCTACTATAAAATAATTGCATTTAGTTTTAATTGTCGTAGGTAGAGGGTACTTTCGAATAGAAAAAATTAAAATTTGTTTTTCTTCAAAATTTTTAATGGAAACACCTATTTATTGTAAATTATAATAGAACTAGATTAAATTCGTAACAAAATGGCGCAAACCGCATGTTAATATCTTTTATCGAACTCGAGATATAAATAAAAATGCATAAACATAAGTAAGTATAGTGTTGACACACCCTGTACTATAAAATAAATTAAAAAATAAGTCAGTAGGTACTTTTATAATTTTTTATAGCAGAAAACTCTTAATGTTGATATCTATTTTGACCATTGTTATTTCATATGATTAAAAATTATTTTTTCGAAACTAAGTAGGCTACGACAATGAATTTGACAGGGAGTTCACATTGTTTATTTATTGACAGCAGTCAAAATATTGTTAAGAAGTATTATATGTAGTATAATTCGAATTGAAAATTGCATTTTTTTTAATAGATATTAATATTGGTAATATTAGTAATTAATTATCAGTACTAATAATGCGTGATGAGTATATCAAATTGTATGATATAATTGGAGTTTATTTCGAATATCACCATAATGGCGCTATTGCCTCACGTATATATTCTGTAAGATATCCTGGCAGGAGATATTGTGGCAAAGAAGTAGAGATTTTGGACTACTGAATTCTGTTGAATTAAAGCAAGAACATTGATTGAATTATCTTCGGTCATAACTCTACTACGTCGTTTAAAACAAGGACGAGAAAAACTACCAGTTTCTCTTAATCTTTTTGCCTTTCTTTCAAATACTTCTTTGCCATAATGTCTCCTGTCACGATATCTTACAAAATGTATACGTGAGGCAATAGCGGCATTTTGGTGACATTCGAAATAAACTCCAATCATATCATACAATTTGATATACTCATCACGAATTATTTGTACTGATAATTAATTACTAATATTACCAATATTATTATCTATTGAAAAAAGTGCAATCTTTAATTCGAATTATAATATAGCACAATTCTTAACAAC